ATGTTCTTTCTATGGGGAGGGGGGAGGAATTGACCAAACATAGGCAGGAGGAGCACACACTGGTCACTGCAGGGGTGGTGTCAAGAATAGAACAGCTGCCGTCTGCGAGAGGGCTGTGGCCTGCCAGTGCTTACAGACACCCACAAAGTTTCTCAGAGGCCTTTCCCACCTTTCTTGGTGCTGTCTGACGCACCTACCTGAGAAGCAAGCACTTTTGCCAAGAGGCCTAGCAGTTCTTGGCAGCGGAGTGGGTGGAGCTACCGATACCGGCAGGCCAAAGCATTGACATTCTTTACCACATAGAAACTCATGGTAAGTGGTGGGATAACCAGGGTCCGGCCAGGACGAAGGGGACGGGGTTTCAGATGAGGCAGGGATCCGTCCTCCAACATGGTCAGCAGCTGCCCATTAAGCTGCACAGACCTGCATAAAAAGAGCAATTTGAATGAGAATGCACTCCTCAGCCACCCATGATGGAAGACCTGGTCCCACCCCCGGGCCCAAGAGGAACAGGATTCTTGTCTTTGCCTGGCACAGCCTGATAGCAGGCTTTGAGAGATACTGGAGCCCAGTTTTGGCTCTCTTCCACATCCTCAGGGACAGAAGATGCTTGGGCCCTGAGGATGATGTCATATACTTTTCCCCACTTGGCAACAGCCAGTGAACTTCAGCACTGAATAAGAGACCTAAAAATGACACATGCACTGTAAAATGGAGCCTTTGTGCATGACTGCCAATCAAGTAAAAAAAAAAATCTGGTCTAAGTGCACGTAAAATGGCTTTTCTGGTTTTCACATGTGCACCTCAAGGCCCAAGTGAATTTGATCCTAGCCTCTGCAATTGCACTGTGCCAAAGGGGATGAAAGACCAACTAATGAGGAGTACTCCAAGGGCTGACAATGAGGTGGTTCCTGCCTTTCTGCTGCACAATGCACTCTGCTTACACTTCCTCTAATTAATCTGGGTGGATGCTTAGATACGTAGGAACCAGTGCCTCCTGCTGCATACCATTTTAATTTCATTCTCCCACCTATTCTGGCATTAATTTCCGAGTGTTCAGAACATACCTGCTTCCTCATTTTAGGACTATGATCTCAATATAATAAAATAATATAAAATAATGCTAACAGTACTCAATTATGCCTCAACATAGAGCAATAACCTTGATGTGACATACAGAAGAGCATAGGGGGAGTCTCTGTGGAATTTTAAAGTAGTTGGGAACTACTTTAGTTTAGAACAAATTTCTCCCTGCCATCACCAATAGAAACTGCTATTTTTGTATTGTATTATGGGATTGTAAGATACACAAAGGGTCTTTTTTATGGGAGTGGGATAATAAAATGTTTAAATAAATAAGTAAATAAAATAGCAAGATAGTAAGTGAAGATATATGTTAAAAAACCCTTAAAATAAAGAATATAAAGACTTTGATATTCTTAAAAAGGAGGATAGGACACTTCCTGAAAAGAGGCATCTTGGGAGTTATGTATACAAAATAGTTTTTGCAAAGCAAGTATCTGTTTAATGAGGTACTAACTCTCATATAAAAGAACAAGAACAGCCCAGTCAGGAAGAAGTATGCACATGAACTCTAATTCCATGATTCTTTTGCTGACTTTTTGAAAAATAGAACACTGCTGTTGAGGCTGTGGTTTGACAGCAAAGATGGAGTTGGAGCCCTTTCCATTCACACAATTGCCTCAAAGACAACTGCCACCTAAAACTGATTTTATATTCCGCTAGGGAAAATTTACTTGCCTCTGTTTTTCCCAGTGTGTTTAAAAACAGCTCGGGGGTGGTTTTTGGCAGGGAAATAACTCCAGGGGAAAGAGTGAAGTAGTCCTCTTCCCCAATGCTGATTTTCCTTTCAAAATTCAACCCCAGAGGCTATGTTCTATAAAAAGCAGAAACAGTAGGTAAGACTAACTATGGAACTAAACATAACTAGCAAATAACACCCTGTGGGGTCATTATGGGTTGGGACAATAGTGCAGGGGAAGGCTGAAGCCCCTCTTTCCCCCATGTGCAGTTCCAATCCAAATCAGGCCCCTGCAGCACTTGGGAAACCACTTCCCAGAAGCTGCCTGTAAGAGTCTGGGATCCCCAGCTGGAGGAACTTGAGGGAAAACATCATGCCTAGTTTGGCCCTCTGTGACAGCACAGAATGGAGTGTTGCACCAGCTCCTGTGGCAGACAGAGCAAAAATGGGTTGGGACAGATAGCTCCATAATTCAGCCCAAACATAGGAGAAACCACCACTCACAGTAGCTACAGTTTTAAAAATACTGTAGTTAAATTAATAACAATGAACTCTAATCTGGGCATTGGGCCGTTTTGTACATGACCACTGTTATACCTTGTCCTTTATTTACACAGTGACAGTGTGTCTCGACAAGGCTTTTTTGAAGCCATTAGGCCACTGGTGCTTTGTGTGCCAACAATGGGGGGGGGGGGAACCATATTTCAGTGACAGAGCCACCTGCTTTGCATCTTCTGTTAAAACAAAATCTCTGATAGAAGGCCTGGAATAGACTGAGAACTAGCAATAGCTGCCAATTAGCTATTGTGTTATCATGGACCTAACTTAGTACAAGGCAGGGTAAACTACTGGATTTGGCTGAAATCTTATCTACAGATTAGTCTAGTCAGATGTAGGTGGATTGTTGGCATTCACACAGTAATACAAAGCTGGATGGAAGTATATGGACTGGCAGGGACAGCAGAAAGTGGGAAGTAAAATGACTGGAGTAGATCCATCATAGTGTATTGGAAGAGACAGTGGATGTGTAGGTAGATGTAGGAAGATCTGGATTAGCAGTATGTAGCAGTTAGTAGTATGCCCACAGGCATTTCTAAGGCACTAAGCCTTTCTGTCAGTGGCCCTTGTCAGTCAGGAGGAAATGGAACCCTTTCCCTACCAGGGGCAACAGTACTCACCTAGAGTGCAGTCCTTCCTGACCATAGGGCTGCAACACATATTGGTGGACAAGTTTGTCTCGAAGGGTACCCACCAGCTTGATTTTCTTCCGGGACCGGTGCAAGTTGATGATGTAGAGCGTGACAGACCCACGGACGTAATTGTGGCTGTGAGGACAAGAGGGAGCAGCAGAGTCAGGGCTCTAGTCGGGGGGGAGCTCTCAGGTACGGAGCTCCGGAAGAGAACCTCTAGGGGGCGGGGCGGTCACGTGGTGAAGCCCCGCCCCCTTCTTTACCCCGCCCTCTGCTTCGATCCTCATTCCGTTTGGGAATGAGGATGAAGCAGGAGGGTAAGTAGCCGGGCCTTCTGACACACTTCCGGTGATGTCAGGGGGTGTGGCCTTCTGTCACTTCCGGTGATGTCAGGGGGCGTGGCATATGCAAATAAGTTATGCTAATGAGTTATGCTAATGAGCTCCGGCAGCTCTTTTTCTACAACAAGACCCCTGAGCAGAGTCATATGCAGATTTCCTAAGATACTACAGTATTCACCAGCTGCAGTTTAACAATCAACATATGTCAATTATGTTGGCCACTTCCAGGCCTGAGGATCTCTGTACTGCTCTGCAGATTCCTAGATTCCAGTCTCATAGGAAGAAAGAGGTAGGTGTGAAGGGAGCATGCCAAAGCTCCTTTTTGCCTAGCAGAATTGGTAAGTGTGTGAAGGGCTTCCTGTCCATATGTTCAGATAGCTGCTCTGACCTCTTCTGTATGCCACGAAGATTTCCCCCTATACAGTCTGCAATAGCAGACAGTATAACTGCATGGACATACTCAGGGCCTGTTGCTCTAGTGAAGGCAGGGCTATCAGAATGGCTTGGGCAAGTGATATTTCAGTGTGGCTTCCTCTGGATAAAGCAAGCACTGAGGACATGGTTGTGCGGGTGCCTTCTGCTGTGGACCAGCTTAGTGCATACGGTACATTTTGGTCCAGAGTGCATGGACAGGATGGGTGGGGACTTGTCAAAGGAGGGTTCCCCTTGAAGTATGAGTGTCGGGGTGTTAGACTAAATGGCCTTCCAATTCTACTATTCTTTTATTAAACCTTTGATAGTACTTCTTTGAGTCACTAACTTGTGTGGTAAGAGAAGAAGAAGATAAGAGACTGGATTTATACCTCACCCTTCACTACCCAAGGGAGTCTCAGAGCAGCTTACAAACTCCTTTCCCTCCCCCTCCCCACAACAGACACCCTGTGAGGTAGGTAGGGCTGAGAGAGCACAGCTGTGCCAGAACTATGGCTTGCCCAAGGTCATCCAGCCAGGTGCAGGTGGAGGAGTGGGGAATCAAACCCGGTTCTCCCAGATTAGAGTCCGTGCACTTAATCACTACACCAAACTGGGGAACACCTCACAGTTCCCAAAGGGAAACACCTGACAGTGCATGAGATGGGTGCAGCAGCCACATTTCTGACCAGTGGGACGATTGTTATCTTGAGTCTAGTATGTCTGCTACACCCACTAGTATGATTCCTAGAAACTTACAATTTTAAGTGAATCCTTCTGATTCAGCCAATATTCACTTTTACCTGAGAAATACAATCTGCATTAAGGCTATCTATGAGAGACCATTTGCTCAATAGCATAAGAATATATAGCTAAAGTTTAAAGTTTTTTTAAAGTTTGTGAGCTAGTGGGACATAGCTGGGTGCACCCAGTTCAAATCTCAGTTCAAGCTATTGAATTCGTTGGTAAGCCCCTCTCTGTCAGGTCTAGCCTCCATCTGTAATATGGGGATAATAATACTGCTCTGTTAACAAAACTCTGGAAGGATTATCAAGATCATGTGAGGCGTCTGAAGCAATTAGGAAATGTGCTTTGTAAATATTATTGTTACCCCAGGCAGAACCACAGAAGTACTTCCAGGGTCTAAAGGACTTGAGCTAAGCAAGCTTATACAGAAACGCTAAAAGCAGGGAAGGTTCCTTTCCTTCTGATCACCCCCCTCCCTCCATCCCTACCCTGGGCATGAGATGGAGCCAAGGTGCTGCCCACCTGTCCCTGCCTGCTTACCTCTCCTTCCCACCTGTCCCAGTTGCCAGTTTCCTGTCAGTCACTGGCCAGGATTCCCCCTCCAGGAGGAGGGTGGTGGAGGGGGAGGCTTGTTGAAAGCATCTGGACTGTGTCAAGGAGCAACAATAGGGACCTGTGTACGCAGGGAAGTCCCAGGCCCTGCACTCACAGGATGCTTTGAAAAGTCTTATCACAGAAACACTAGCTAGGCTGGGCGCTCCAAATGTGGGGAGAGGGGAACTGTAACCAGACACTGGGGCCTTAGGGGAAATATACTCCCTTGATCTCACCTTGATAGGAATTGTGCCACAAAGGCTCTCCCCCAGTCCCAGAGATAGCTGCTCATCCCTATCATCACCAGAGCTATTTCCCACCCCCCACTATACCGGCACAACTTGAGCAAGTAAGGATGCAAAATTGTGCAGGGCGTGGACAGAAAGGCAGGAAAGCAGGCCCTCTTACTCTCTTCTCAACAATAACCATTTTTCTTGCTGCAGCAAAAGAACTCAGGACCCCTCTTTTATAAATGGGGGGGGGGAGAGACACATAACCTTGACACTGGCAGCAACAACTGCGTTCCATTCTTCGGTGGGCACAGACCCACACAGGAGCTTGGGAGGATGGAGCAAGAAGGCATGCCTGTGGCTGTTGACATTCTCTTCTACAGGTTCTGGTCAGCACTGAGTACATTCTCTCGGGTATCCCTCTGCCCCAGCCCCCATCTTCTATCAGGTGGCTCTGCCTGCCTCATGGGATGACCCACAGACTCACTTGTGGTAGCTGGTGCAGTGAGCATAGATGCGCAACTTGTCACGAATCACCCTGCCGGGGCGAGGTTTCTGCTGCAGTCCAGCCACATGCACGGCAAGTACCCGGGGCCCAACAAGCTGCTTGTAGAGCAGCGACAGCCAGTAGTCCTGCCAAAAGAAGGGCTGTGGGTTATTCCTGGGATAGTCCTCTTGAAGAGGTGATACAAAGAATAGGATCTCTGACCCAGTGTTACGAGCCTACTCTACATTTCTGCAAACTTTGCAGAAAACTAGACATAAAATATCAGCAGCTGAGCAAACTTTAAGTAAACAAATAAATACCAGCTTCAATGCAGGACAGATTACCTGTTTTATCAAATTTTTATTATTATCAACTGGTGGGTTTTTTTTTGTGGTATTTTTGCATTTGTGTGTGTGTGCCTGTGCCCGGAAGTCTTTGCAACTCCTACTGGGGGATGGAGGACATTCAGAGAAGTGACTTGATAGCCTGCCTGTGCCTCTTGGCCCTGGAATTCTTTGGAGGTCTCCCATCCAAGTACTTGCCAGGGTGGGCCCTGCTTACATTCCGAGATCAGGCCTGCCTGGGCTATGCAGGTCAAGGCTTTTCTTTCTTTGTGTCGCCTCTTTTTATGATTTATTAGATTGCACAGGAGAATCTGGGAGAATGAAGTTCTCCAGTGTTAGAAGAAGCAGCACCTTCCCAAATTCTCCCTTTCTTCACAATAACTGCCAGAGATGCATGAGCTCTGTCTCATATTGACTCTCACAGTGCTCTATTGAATTAGAGGTCTGTTAGCCTGGTTCAGCATTTATAGCCAGGCTGGGGCAATGAAATTGTGCACTAACCACATGGTGAAGAAATGTTCCTGTAACCTGGCAAGTAGCAGCCGCCTAACAGACCCTTCACACATACAGCTCTTTGAGAGCTGTTGCTGGAAAACACAGAAGAACATCAAATGGAGCTTGTGGTTTTGCTCCCCACGCTTCACGTCCTGTTCTTTTCAGAGATGCATGTTCAAGCCTGCAAATGAGATGCAGCCCAACAAGAAGCGTGCCACCAGTCACAAGTAAGGGAGCAGTACATGCTTAGGATGCATGCTTGAGACAGATAATTTACTACTCCAAGCCAAGGTGCTTACAAGGTTTTTATAATTCAAAATGCATTTCTGTGAGCTGCAGAACAGTTTGGAAGAGTCAGGTGTTAACAAAAGGCCAGGCAAACAATGTGAATAACAAGACCAGCCCTATGATCTGGGGTTGTGAGAAGACAGTGGCTCACACTGACTACAGACACTGCAGGAAGCAGGGAGTTTCACAGGAGACACCACAGTCAAAGTACTGGCTGGAAGCATTTGGACTTGGTTGCCATTAAATATAAGACATACTGCTGGACAGACCTTTAATTTGACCCTATCTGTCAGTCTTCAAGAAATAGTATGACCCAAAATGTTGCCATTTAGCAAAGAATAAAAGCAGTGTTTGCAGAGCTGCACAAACAATTACATAATAAATATAGCCAGGTAGATACTGTGAGAGCAGGAAATGAAGAGATTCTTGAATACACCCTCATAGTTGCTACATAATGCAACTGTCCTTTTAGCCTGTGACCTGAGCTGTTAAGAAGAAATTGTAACAGCTTCTTTTCCATATGAAATGCCTGAGCTGAATCCTTGGCTGCTGAGTCTCATGAATTGTTGTGGCCTGGGACCCTCCAGGCCAGAACCTTACTGAAGTCCCCCTTGCTGAACAGGATGACTACTCCCTCCACCCCAGGCCTCAAACCTTATCTGAAGGAGGCTTTTTAGGTGGCAGACTCAATACACCCTCTGTTAAGGAAGCTCTGTCATTCTAGGGTCATCCCAAGATACATCTGGTGGCAGCTACACCGAGTTAACTATGAGTAACACAGAAACCAAAGGGACACTCTTTTTCTCCTTAGCACTGAAGTATACAGATTTGGTCCCAGGTTTGTGGGTGGGTTGTGAGATACTATATATGGGTGGAAAGATGTCAACCCCAAGAATATTTGAGCTGAGCGCTTGCAGCTGTCCCTATTTTGGCTCAAGGGTTGCTTAGGAGCAGGAAACGCGCTTCCTTCCCTGTAATGCAACTGCTGCACTGCAGCCCCTATTCTGCACAGACGGGAAGGGGCAATAGTGTACCTCACCCCACTCAGTTGAAACTGTACTGTGGCCAAACAGCTCTATGGGAAGTCTTCCCTGATGACTCTGTAACTAGCTTTTGAGATTTTATTCCAGTTTTGTCTGAAGAAGTGTGTTTTGCATATGAAACCTGACACTTCAAATAAAACTTTGTTGGTCTCAAAGATGCCACTTGACTCAAACTTTGTTCTACTCTCCTTACTTGTCATCTTTGCTCCTGAGCTGCACAGTCCAGTGGACTGTTGATCCTGTGCCTCAAAAAATGTTATGGCACAACGGGAATTGACTCCTCTGGAACTTCTTTATCTGATCCTCCAAATCCCACTCAGCCTGGGCAGCTTCTAGAAGATGCAAATGGGACACGTGGTGTGCCACAGAAACGTTTGCCGACCTGTACAGGACTGCACCAGATAAAAGCCAAACACTACTGTAAATACCTGGGAACTGGGTCCTGCCCTACGTATTGCTGCCCAGGGGCCGGGCTGTGGTGTCACTTGAGCATGCATAGCTGCTGGGGGAATAAGTGACCAGAACTTTGTCATCTCCTCTTTCATACACATCCCAGAACCAAAGATTGGAGAGGAAGTAAATGCAATGGCATCACCATCCATGGCTCCTTGGATGCTTTGAAGAAGGCGCATTTTACTTCATCCTGTATTTCTAGTAGGCAAATAAACATTTCTGTGACACAACATTCAGACATAACAGAGCCATTGCTCACAGCAAAATGTACTTTGGAGGCACTTTCTATCTAGCACACTACAATCTTTTCGAGTAGAGGGTGACATACCTGACTCCCCCTCCCATTTTATCCTCACCATACCTCTGATAGGTTAAGTTGAGCAAGTGACTTACCAAGGTGACCCAGTGTTCTAAGTGGAGATTTGAATCCTAGTCCAGCACTACACAACACCGTACTTCTTTCTAAGGTATCTACACTGTGAACATTTTGCCTGCTAACCCAAAAGCCATAGGAGCAGATGCTTATTCATTCATATCTTAGCAAGTACAGATGTGTGACTCTTGGTTTTTTAAAAGGCTCTGTCCATGCTGGTAGGTTGTGTTTGAAGGTATTGCCTTTTATTTTTGATCTTCATCAGTGGCAGAGTTGAAAGACACTCATGTTGGCAGGCAGAGCTATCCCTGGGTCTCTGAGCTACTTGAGAAGAGCTTGGCTGTCATAGCATCTGCTTCAGCAGAGCATCTCTGGGGTGAGGGCTTTCATTCCTACGGAGCTGGATCTTCAGTGGCATGGAAAGCAAAGGAACTATGCTTTTGCTGGGCGCCCAGCCCGAGCTCATCACCAGCTGATGGGCAGCCAGGCCAAGGCAGTGATTGATGCCATGGCTTCTCTCAGCAGCAGAGGGCTTGCACAAAGGAAAGGCAGCATGTGGAAAAGTCTTTGTCACTGGAGGAGGTGGGAGGATTCAATTTCACATCCTAGCAGTCCTGCATAGGCCCAAGCAGCTGCTTTCATCTCAGTGATAGCTCCCACGGGAAAAGAGCAGCCGCCACACCTCACACCAGGTTCACAGTCTGGCCTTGCTGAGCTCTCCCCTTGTAAATGCTTAAAACCTCCCCAGTTTCCCTCACTTGCTCTGGTCAGGAGGAAAGGCATTGGCTAAAGGGAATGGGAGACTGTGGAGGATAAACAAGACATCTACTCTGAAGTGCAGGGAGCTTAAGGTGCAGGGAAGACCGAAGAGTTCCCCCTTAAAAGGACAGTTAGTTTGAAATGCTTTTAAGTTGCATGGGAAGCTCTTTTGTTTGCCTTGGACCCTTAGGTCCTGATGCTGTCAGTCACCTTGCCATATCAGCAAGTCAGAGATGAGTTGCCTAGTTGGCAGCATGTGGCTAGTTTAGTTTGGGACCATTTAGCACAAGTAGTTTTCCATGTGTCCCCTGGTCACACTGGCACAGCCAGTTTGGTGTAGTGGTTAGGAGTGCGGACTCTAATCTGGGAGAACCGGGTTTGATTCCCCACTTCTCCACATGCAGCTGTTGTTGTGACATTGGGTCAGTTACAAGTTCTTTCAGAGCTGTTCTCTCTTGAGCAATTCTCAAAAGAGCTCTCTCAGCCCCACCTACCTCACAGGGGCTGATTTCGCACTAGAGCTGCCTCGCTGTTGCGCCGCCGTTTGCCCCGGTTCTATTGGTCAATTTCACACCCGAAGCCGCACAGCTGATTTTGACCCGCAGCTTCGCCCGATTTCCCTCGCAGTTTCATGATCCTGTTTTTTGGAGAATCAACAAAACTGCGGAGGAAATTGGGCGAGGCTGCGGGTCAAAATCAGCTGCGTGGCTTCGGGTGTGAAATTGACCAATAGAACCGGGGCAAACGGCGGCGCAACAGCGAGGCAGCTCTAGTGCGAAATCAGCCAGGGTGTCTGTTGTGGGGAAGGGGAAGGAGATTGTAAGCCACCCTGAGACTCCTTCGGGTAGTGAAGGGTGGGGTATAAATCCAATCTCCACCTCCTCCTCTTCTTTTCCTTCTCCTTCCCAGTTCCTCTTACCCACCGTCACTTAATACCTGTATAATTGCTGGCCTTTATGGATAAAGGCCCAGGGAGGAAATTATTGGAATTGGGAAGCATGCAAATGTGCTCCTCTCCTACCCTTCCCACCTACCTTTCCAGGACAGAAATAGAGTTGGGATCCAGAACAGTTTGTATGGAGACGTGTTATGGAGCCACTCACAGAAAAGCCTACTAAGAAACAATGTAAAAATATTCAAAATGTTTCCCTGATGCATCGAGATGTGTGGCAATAGGAGAGACAACCCTGGAAGCCTGTTCACCTGGGATCAGGTCTCCTAGAGACCAGCTGCGGAAGAATGCAGAATCCACAGCTCATTACAGGGCTCAGCTTTCGTGGCTGCCCTTCTGCTTCCCAGATTCCTGGCCTACATTCCAGGGGCCTGCTGGCAGTGTCTCTCAGATTGGTACCCTGGACCAGGCTTGTAAATTCTTGGCCAGGGAGATCCAGAGCTTCTCAGCGCTGCCAAAAGTTCCACTTGCAAGGTGTAGAATTTATTAGACTGAAAAAAGATGAAAAGAAAACCTGCTACTTTTAAAGACCTTTTTACATACGGTTTCCTTATTAGAGCCTTGCGCACTTGGAACAGCAAACCCCCCTCAGCCTTTTTGAAGGGCTACAAATGAGCGGGTTTGCATTAAACGGGAGGGAACTGCCCTGCTGTGTGGAGCTGTGAACTCCTTTCACCTTCATTCCTATAAATCTAAACTTCATTCAGCCCCATTTTCCTGGCTTTTTTAGTCTTTCCCTAAGGAGCGGGCTGTCTCTGCTTCGGTGCTGTTTCGGCAGCACGTTTTCAGGTACCCTCCCTTGCCCTCCCCTGCTCTGGTCCCTTGGCTTGTGTGCCCTTCCACCAAGGAGCCCCTCACCCTCTTGCTCTTGCACACCCCATGAGGGTCCCACAGAGACTCCCACTACGGACAAAGTTCCAACCCCAGAGGTAACCCTGCCCCATCTGCTTTCAACATGTTGTGCTTGACATTAACTAATGTCTCCTATTAGCACTGAAAGAAACCAATCTGGAAAAATGTATTTTCAAGCAGAGTTCAAACAGGCCACAAGGAGCAGCGGATTTTTCAGCTGCGGGTAGTTTTTTCTTTCTTTCTTGTGGCGCAGCCAAGAGTCTGAGGAACAGGTCAAGGGCACAGAAGTCAAACACAAATCCCCTGATTTACTGACTGGTAACAGGAAAGGGAGATGATGGGGGATATGGTAGAGACACTACAAGAGGAGCTGAGGAAGAAACAGGAAGGGTGACTGCTGCACTGGGAAGCCAGAGGGGGAGCCAGCCCCGGCCTGATAGAGCAGAGATGCGGAGCGATGGGTGGGGCAGAACAAGTGGGGGAAGGAAAGAAAGGGAGAGGGATAATGCTACCAATCTAACAGGAAAGAGAAGAAATGTAAGCCTGGTATAGAAATGGCATGCAGAATGGGACGTGGGAAAGATGTCGAAGTGAGAAATGTAAAATGAGGGAGGAAGAAAGGTCACTTGTCACACTACATACCCATGGCAATGGGGAGGGAAACCCAACAGCCTCCAAGGGCGGAGACCAGCAGGATCAGGACTGTTGATATGGCAAGTTCAGAGGATGCACCTACCGGCAGTGGGTTGAAGTTCTGGTCCACAAGATGGTTGTGCCCGTGGTCAAAAAACGAGTGACGCATCACCACATCAATGCCCTGGCTGGCCAGCATTCCAAGAGAGTTCAGCCACCTGGGAAGGAAGCAGAGGACTTACTGTTCACGTTTCACAGAGAGGAACAGGCTGCGGCTCTGCAACCTGCGTTCTCATGCCAAAAGGTTCTTTAAATAGGATGCCAAGACTGGAAAACTGTTGCCACCCTCCAAAGCAACAGCAGATCTCACAAAGTGGGCACTGGCTCAGAGAAACATATATAACCCACACAATTTTGTTCTTATAACAACCTTGTGAGGCAGCTGATAGTGACTGGCCCAAGTGAACTATGTCACTAACCCTTTGACTCTCCTGCCCACATCTAATACTCTGCTCACTAGGGTGCACCACACTGACTTCCTTATCCTGCTGTGCTCTGAGAAGTCCTCCATCTTTCTAGCAACAGAAAAACAAATATTTTCCTAGATGCTAACATGATACAATATTGTGAAAATGTCTGGTGAAATTTACTTTTGGGAACAAGGTCAATTCTATACATTTCCTCCTCTTCCATTAAAGGCTCTGTTGGAATTACTGCACACAGTTATATAGATCCCAGCTGAAGTCTTCAGTGATAGCCAAAAAACCAATTCCACGACTTTGGTCCCAGAGGTTACAGAGAAGCAAAGCGATTGCACAGCAATAAAATACAACAGGGTCATTCCATTTAATTTATTTATTTTAACTCTAAACTGCCATAGTATGCATACTTAGGAAGAAATAAATCTCACTGAAACAAGGTGGACTTACTGTCTAGAAAACATGTATATTCTTGAACTGTAATAGTGCAATACTATCCACATTTACTTGGAAATAAGCCCCACAATTTAGAAGTAAATCTAATTACTTCTGAGAAGGCTTGAATGGTGTGACGTTGCATGTAGATACAGAATATTGAGGACAGCAATGCCCAAATAAATTCAGTCAGTTGAAATGAAAGAGCCGCCATCTTGGCAGAGTCTCTTCATAAAAAGCGACAGTTGCTTCACACACAAAATAGGGTTCTACACTTCCATCACAGATCAATCACATCTTCATTTTATCTTTGAAGGGTCCCCTTAAATCCCAATGAGCACCCCTTCCTTCCCAGGATCTGTGACTCATCCAGGCTCTAAGGCATGTGTTTACAATAAAGTGTTTTGAGGAATGCAGATGCCATTCAAACACAACAGAAAAGAGCAGCTAGTCAAGAGTTGCCTTTTTGAATAATATGTAAGCCTTCAAAGACTTGGATTACTGTGCATCTTCTCCAGCTTCTGCTAATTCTCACAATTTTATGGTCATGTTAATTCTCACAATTTCATGGCTATCTAATATTTGTATGGATGCTTTGTGATCTAATGAAAATATTTTAATGATCTAATCCAGTAAAAATATACTCATTTATGTGCAATACATATAACTGACAAAAGTTTCCATTTCTCTTAAGGTCACTAAACTCAGATTGAGATGTTAAAAACCTAGGCCTTGTTAACAAGAATCACAATTACAATGGAAAGGATGTATATGCACTTTACCTTGTTCAACCAAATAATTATTATACATAAAGTTAGACTGCAAAATGTTTTATGACATTTATGCAAATATAATATTAATCGCCATGGAATGACCACAAATGTGATTTGTAACCCAATACTAATTCAAATTTTTTTAAAAAATCAAAATTTCACCAGAATACATAAATGAATTTGACTGTGAGAAGGGAAGGAATTTTGAACTAATTTTTGTGGATGAAACTGACTCCATCTTATGGGACTCCAAATTCTCTTTTTATGGATTTAGTAACATTAGCTCAATCGTCTAGAAATGTCCCATGTGATTTTCTTCTTCTTTGCTATAACATATGAAAAACTGCCAAGACGGGTCTTCCCTCCCCCCGTTAACTCCCCACCTTGCAGACCTGTAGCCTATGACATCACCTCTCCCTACCAAGAGGAAGAGAGATTCATTTCCTAAGTGAGCAGTCAAGGCGAGCTGTTGTGAGATGCCAAAGCCCAGTCTCCTGGGTGTGCTAACGTGTGAAACCTCCCAAATTCATAATACGTTCAGAAGAAAAGGGAAATAACTGCAGTTCACTGTGCATCTAATGAGCAAAGACAAGTATGGGGGGTGAGGGTAGGAAAGAAAAGAAACATCAAGATATTTGGAGAGCTGTGAGTCCTTTGTTTAATTGTTATACCATGTGTTCCAAATTCTGGAAAATGGAAAACTGAATTATATGACCTATATACATTATGCAATAAAGTAAACTTGTGTATTTTCTTTGTTTTGAATCATTCATGCTTCTGTGAATTATAGAGAGAGGCAAGGAGTTGTGACAGAGCACTGAAGTCCCTATGCCTGGTCACCGGAAATCTTAATTAGTGGTTTCTCCGGCCTTGTGGATTCTAGCAGGCATTCCCACATATACTTTTAGGGTTGCCAAATGCCCCCGGGGGGTGGATTTCCCCCCGCTTTCGAGCCCTGCTTTCTGTTCCCGCGGAATCGGGGCCCGGGGGAACCCCACCCCCGCGTGCGCGTCACCCGGAAGTGACATCGCACGCTGGGGGCGGGGCCACGCCATTTGAGGAGAAAACTCTTTGTTTTCCCCTCAAATGGCGTGGCCCCACCCCCAGCGTGCGACGTCACTTCTGGGTGACACGCACGTTCCAGACGCCGGCCGGGAGCCCCCCGCTCCCGGCCAAAACATATTTGGCAACCCTATATACTTTCAAGAACATCTCTGGCAATTTCAAGGGCCAGGAGCTGACATTTCATTATTTTATTTGAAAAGAAAGGTGAGATCCCTATAAAATGGGATTTGTGCCACAGGTTTTTTCCTGTACTTGTGTAGAATCACAAATACATAGCTCTGGATAATCTTTGTCCCTGGTACAGCCAGACTATGTACTGAATGCACTCTACTGAACTTTGTTTTGGAAGGAACAGCCGTGAAATGTGATGAAATCACAGAGATGGAAAGAGACTTCATTAAATCCAGTCTCTTTAACAGGCAGTATGTTCCCTAGATCTTGTTAACTAGCCATCTAATTTCTCCTGAAAAACAGACCAGGGAAGGAAATTCCACAACTTCTGGGCAACTTGTTTAATTGTCCAGTACTTTTTACCATCTGAAAATTTTTCCAGTTGTTCTCTGGTAAACAGATGCTCTTGGTGGAAATTTATTATTAAGAATTTTCATAGCATTTTTAATGTGCGACGTTTGTGCTACAACTGAGACAGAAAAGCAGTGATTTGCTCCATAGCTGAGAGGTGAATTTGAACCCAGAACTTCTGTAACCAACTTCAGCCTTCTACATAAAAGAGCACTGGTTAGGTTTGTGCAGCACCTGATCCTATGCATGAAAATCAAATTCTATTTTGTTCCATGGGAGCCAAACAAGATGTTATCAACCAAGCCAATAAACATCCCAGAGCCATTTCTCTGTTTCATATTGGTCCACCTGGCAAGGCTGCTGAGGCTGGGTTAATGGTATTTGCATGTTTTGCTCTTATTCAGTCCCTACTCCATAGCAATTGTCCATGCTGGATTATGGCCTGAATTGATTTTCATGTGAATCATGAATTGTCATCAGTGTGTCTGGCTTTCTCTTCTGGGGTATATTATATAGAAGCCATTTTCATACGTACATTCATACAACTTAACTTTGGGTTGTTAATTCCATATGGGCAGCCATGATAGTCTGTAGCAGCAAAATAGGTAGCACACAAAATTCTGTGAAAGTTTATGGCAGAATAAATTGTGTTAGTCTTTCAGGTGCCACCACTGGAATATTTGACTTTTGTGGAAGATCCCCCCCCCCCAATCTATCCATTTTGGAACATAATAAAATATTCCATCATATGGGAAATACCATATTCCATTGGGCTCTACCATGAAGAAGGCCCCCATAATCTCAAGTGACAACAGCACAGGCAGACAGGTGTCTGGAGAGGACATAAAGAGGCAAAACAATGAAGGGGGGCTGGTTATTCACAACAGGAGGTCTTGCCCTCCACTTGCCACGTTATACCTGACTGCATGTGCACAAAGATACTTGATTTCACATATACACCCCTACCATACATCATCTCTTCGTAAAGGAAGGAAGTACGGAGTTCCAGTGATCTATGATTTCTTTTGTCTTGCCTCGGCACACCATTTTGGCCACCCTCACCTAAAAGTCAAATTTTGCTTTTCAACCCCCATGTGTTATGTCTTGCCTCAAGTGTATCTGTAATAAAAAATAATTAGAGGGTTTCTTTGCTGACCTTTGAAGGTCCGAGACTTAATGAAGGAATATTACTGATGCTACAAAATACATACATTTCCCAAGTTCAAACAATAATATAAACAAGATAATTTGTGTGTGACAATGTAAGACAGATAATATTGATTTGCTCTTAGAGGCAAGATGAAAAAATATACTTCTAAGCAAATAGCATATCATTGTTTCCTAACGGGGTTTGTCTTGTATCTTGACTGTCTTTCACCTGTATCCCAAATTTACACATTTCTGGTTCCGATTCATAGCAGAACACCATGATTATTTTTTTTTTTAACAGAATAAATTCCTTACAGAAATCTAATACAATTTAAATGCTGGCACCAATGTCTTTTTTTCCTGGGATTAAGGTATCAAATTTAGCATTAAAGCTAACTGGGCAATTCTTTTCTAAGCTATTTCAAAAGTAAAACTACCTTGCGAGGGCATCTTGGTACCCTGGAGGACAGATATGTTCCTGGGAATATCCCTCATCTCAATTAGAACAGAATGCAGAAGTCCGCAGAATCCTGTTAATTCAGTTGCTATATAACTGTTCAAAGTTTCTTCCCAGACCCTCATGTAATAGATGAAGGAACTCGTCTTCCATTCAAAAACTCTACTGATAAGCACCCTGCCTCCACATTGCAACTGTGCCCACCACGTTGACTCACAGGAAGCTGGCAGCATAGGAATCCGAGAGATTGGTGGTGACTCCTTCTGAGGTGGCCCCGATGCCCTCCAGCCAAATCCTTTTTCCAGGCACATGTGAATTGACAACCTATTGCAAAAAGAAAAAGGCACAAGTGGTCGGCAATCATCTGGGAGGAGATGCTACCCACAAAATGTTTTGGAATGGAAAGGTAAACCCAAACAGACCTGGTATGGGTTGGCTAGTGATGCCAAAGGGTATGGAAAATGCAGTTAGTACAGGACAGACAAGATCCGAGGCTGAAAAGGAGCATTCCTATCACCACCCATTTCCTTGCACCAATTCAGCTTTCCCCACTTCCTGTGCTTGCATTTAACTTGCTATTCCAACAGATACAGCAGTTTAATATATTTGGGTCAGCCCCACCCCTGAAGTGCCCAAGGCACTATTCCTTTCTGTCCTGTGCCTTGTGAGGAGCACCATACAGCAGGCAACCAACTAAGTATTCTTATGTTTCCTCTGCACTGGCAATCTGGGGATAGTTGTCTCTTCAAAGTCCTGTCTCCTTGCAGAAGAAGAAAATATGTACCTAGCCAACTGATATATGAAATGCACCTTTTCTGGATCAGTGTCTTATTTGCATCAGAGAGGATCCCTCCGGATTCCATTGTTTTCTCCCAAGCGACATCACAGTAGACTGGCATGTCATGTGGCCACAGGAAAATCCTGCCAGAGCCACCATGACTGGGCCATCATTCACCCTCACCCAAAACAAAGAAAGCATAGTAGGGTTTTATGGCACAGTAGTTAAGGCACACATGCAAATTTGCCATCACTGTCACTTTGAAAAGTTAACTGTAACTTCTTTGTAAGTCTGAGTACTGAAGGTTTTCCATTGCCAAGCAATAAAACTGAGGGCTGCTGCACACACTGCTTTTTTAACATGTACACATAAACATGGAACATGTGCCTAGAACAAATGTATTTTCCACTGCATGCATGATACAAGTGCATATGCCAGGGAGCTGGGATTAGCTGCAACTCCTTGATGCATTTACAGATGTGATATGCAAAGTGGCCTTGACCTAACTAAAATAGTAACAGCCAAATAAGAATTTAAAAAATGCTGGGTAGACCAGCTTCAGTGGTCAGGTTAGAAGTCTACATGGGTGTGACTCCAGATAATTAGTTATCAAGAGTAGATGTTATATTACGTTAGTAACAACTATGAAGCAACCTCTTATTGTAGCCACTGTTCCCTCTAAGCTGAGTTAGTGTGAGCCTAGCTCGCAGTTCTTTAGCCTCTGGCTTAGAGGGAGCATTGATTGTAGCCATAGCAGAGCCTATAACAAGAACAGTCATATGATCTGGGACATAAAAGAGTGCCATGCTAGTCTTGGAGCAGTCAATGCTTTCCCACAATGCCCAGATTCCAAGATGCGAGTTGGCCTGAAGATGCCCGAATAACTGCAGTAGTGAAATAGAGAGGTGAGTGTGGCATCAGCATTCCCAGCCTGGGAAATGCCATTGTAACACGAGACCAGCTTTGGCAGCACAAACTAGCCAGGACAAGACGGCGCCAGCAAACAAAAGCGCATCAGTGAGCACAAGTACATTAAGGATGCCAGCTTACAGCCGCTTCTGCCTCAGTCCAGGACAGCTGACACAGTGCCTGGAAGGTCTGGCCATTAGCCAGAGCAGGCTTCATTACCTGGAAGCAGCATCTTGAAGCAGTGAAATCAGGGGAGAAAGAGGCTCATTGATTTACTTAGTGGCAAATGTCCCAATGTTTGTGCTTGAGTCAATGAGCTTCTGGCCTCTTTAATAGAGTAATGGATCCCTGTTGGGATCTGCTCGATAGCCCACATGAAAATATTACCCAAAAACAAGATCAAACATTGGCAGCTCATGAAACAAATTTCTTTTGATGAACCAACATTTCTAGTCAACAATGGATCAAATATTTCAGAGTCCCACAGAGAAGAACCATATTTCCCATGGTGGACGGTGGCCAGGAAAAGTCTCCATCTTACTCCTTTGTTCTCTACAGACCCCCCCCCTATCCCCACTGATCTTATTCTACAGGCACTTCTACATTCTGTGGTCTGTTCTGCCCCTTCTACAGCCTGTCTCAGGCCTATTATGCACTCACAGCCTACTGCGAAGAATCCCAGCAGTCAAGCCTTTAAGCTTGACTTCAGATTTGTGTTCCTGCTGTACGCCATTCCTGCCATATGCACCATTCTGTTTTCTCCAGTGTATTTGTTCTGCATTCACAACCAAAAACTGCAGTTTTTCTTAATTGGGTGGGAACGTCACTTGTGACACGTGTGTGTGTGTGGGGGTGGCATCCAAAGGTTTTTTTAATTGCCCTATTGCAGCTGCGCAGTAGTGTCAAGCAAGCACCTTGCATTTAAATCCTCATGCTTCAGTTCCTTGAATGAAATGGAACACAGAGGACCACAGGCAAAGTTAAAAAACAAAACTTCCTGAAATTGACCAAACTTCTTTTTGGATTCTCTGCTGTGTTATCAGCCGCTGTGAAAAGCAATGCCTGCACCTTGCCCAGGCTCTCACTCGCTGCACAGGGCCGGACCGTCATAGACAAATTTTAGGCACTTGCCTAGAGTGCCCCCTGCTGGTGGGTGCCATGCTAGCCTGCTGCCACCCTGCCCCGCCCGGCCCCTCCCTCGCCTGTGCAGTGCGCTCCGCATGCCACTCTGCTCATCGCCCAGCTGCCTGTGCACCTCAGTGCTTGCGCAGTGAGTGCTCCTCCTTCGTCATTGCTGCCCACCCCTCCCTTGCTCGCCTCACCAAACAAAAGCCCTGCAGCTGCACACTGCTCCACTCCCCCGTTGTTCCTCAGTGCCTGTGTGCGTGTGCTCCGTCGTGAAGCCGCCGAGGCTGAGCACATGCTGCACACACCACCTGTCAGCCACCCGCTGCCCCTCAACTGCACTTCCCGCCCGCCCAGTCGTGAACTTGGAAGGAGTCTGCACCCCCGGCCCCTGGAATTTGTGGTTGGTTGGGCATGGCTGTGAGGGAGAGCCTCCCCACCCCCCAGATGACAGGGGCTCCTCTGGGCCACAGGGGCCAGCCTCGCATCGCCCCACCCCGCCTGCCCTTCCCTGGGACTGGAGGTGACATGTTTGGCCTGTGCCACTGCTGCCGGCTGAGACTCGAGCAAGCCCTTTCCCTGCTGCCTGGGCCTCCCTCTGTGGCCTCGCAGTGGTGCTGCTCGGGGAGTGGGCTGACTGTATCTTCCTAAACAAATGGGGGAGAAGGAGCCGTCCTCTTACTCTTGTGCACTCTTCCAGTAGAGGGGAACTTCTCCTCACAGTGCAGGATTGGGCCTCATGTACCAAAATTCTAGGCATGTACACAAACTCATGAGCAGACAATGAATTGCCTGGAGATCAGTTTTAATACCAGGAGATCTCCAGCCACCACCTGGAGGTTGGCTACCATACTAAAAATCATGAGAAATGAAGGAGCTGAACCTTTTAAAAAAAATGAGGACAGGGTAACTGCATGCCTGTCAAGTCTAGGAGTTCAGGGAATTTTGATGAACCGGACAATATGCCACCAGAAATATATACTGTCTCACAATTAACAGGATTTTTCAAAATGCTTTGTGATTTGTGTTTTTCTGTTTGAGAGAGAAAATCAGAGATTGTATTACTTGTTCCCCCAATTTTTAGCAATTCCAAATTTTGTGTTTTTCATTCTTCCTAAAATGCATTTATGTTTGAAAATTGGTGGACACACTGGGGGGGGGGGCGCCAGAAGGTAGCCTCACTTACTGTGCAAAAACCCCTGGGACAAGCCCTGGCTGCATGTGTGGTGCACCTCATTGTGGTGCACCTCACTGTGCACCTCCAAGTGGTGCACCTCATTGGCGGGCCACAAGACCATGAAGTGGCCCAGCTGGCCTGGGATGGCGACTTGCAGCAATGCCTCACACACACACACACATGAGACCTGCTCTGGGAAAAACGGGGCGGCAGACCTGGGGAAGAGGGAGAAGGTGCCGCTGCACCCGCCTCGCTTCCCTGTCTTTCCCCCCCAGCAAACCTAGTCTAGCTTTAATCTCATTACACTAGACTTATGCCTCTTGTAAAAAAAAAATTAAATGTCAAACAACAAGGTGCCATTTTAATCTTAGGCTTGCTTCCAGAGACTGCTAAAATGGTCCCCCCCAAAAAAAACATTTGTTCACTGATGCATTAAAGGGGAAAATGTTTCATTCTGCACTGATGACCCCCCCCCCCCAAATTTGGTCTGCATGCAGCACTTGAATCCTTTTTTTTTTTTTGCATAGTGGATTCTCTGTTTTGTTTTGTGAAGAGGCTTCTCGGACAGCTGCCAGAGCATCTTTGGGAAGTGAGGCAGGCATGGCACCAGCACATTCTCCCTCTTCCCCTGGGCTGCCCCACTTCTCCCAGAGCAGGAGAGCATCAGTGCAGAATGAAAGTGAATGGAATTGACAAGTAAAGAGAGACATACATTGAATGGGAAGCCCAAGGGTTTTAAAACTGTTTCCCCTTAGAGCCTTAGGGCAGTCATGTGTTTTTTTCAGCCTCCTGGAAACCCAAAGGAAATATGCTGGTCTTGACCCAATCCCTCCCTCCCTCCCTCCCTCCGCCCTTTCAGAGTTTGCGAAGAGGCTTCTGTCACTAATTTTCCCCCCCAGATATCCAAGACTAGTGAAAAACTCATTTTGTTAGACTCATCCCACTTGTATAATTTTTTTTAAAATGGGTAAGCAATGGTGGAGCTTGTACACCAATGGGGGGGAGAGAACCACTAATGTTCTGCTACAATAGCTACTCAAGAGTAAATACAGATTGAAGACTCTCATATTTCAAATAACATGGCCAGTGCGAAACTGACCAATAAGGAGTGGGAGGAACGACTTCAGCGTGGGTGAAGGAGTGGCCTCCGAGGGGCCGGAAAAGGGTGGGATGGAAAAATCTGAGGGAATCTGTATGTTTTTGAATTACCTTCGACTTGGAAACAAAGCAGGGGGAAAGACCGCCACAAAACCACTCTCAGATAACCTGAGTAAACAGCGAACTGAGCGCTGAAGGGAGGAAAAACAACGCAAAACGGGGGGAAAACCTCAACAGACATACACAGTGAAAGCTACCAGAATGAAGAACAACAAAGAAAACCCAACAGACATGCACGGTGAAAGCAAGGCAAAACACCAGTGCATAATAGGCCACAGTCCAGCTTAGGTATTCCAAATGTTCCCGGGAAGACTGGGCTCTGCATACTTTAGCTGTCACGGTATACAGGACACTCCCTGAGAACATTCATTACCTTCTCTCCAGCTTTGTTCAACATTTCTTAGCTGAGAAGTAGGATCTGCAGGGCCCGAGAACAACAAGGTCAATCCTAAGGATAACCCCCAATAGACCTTCCTAGCTCTGGACATAGACTGCCCAGGTACCATGCTGCAGAGCAGTTGCAAGCTCCCCACCCTTGGAGACATGCTACCCTCTTGCCCCAGCCATCCCTCTCACTCACGCACTTTCTGGATTTTCCTGATCTGGTCAGAGAGTGTGTCTAACAGGCGCGTTTTCAGGAAGTCCGTCACCTTGGCCACTCGGCCATCAAGGTAGTAACTGGAATGAAAACGAGAAGGCAACAGTCAGAGGGGCTGCAGCTGTGTGCTCTCCCTCACCCTAGCTATAGACCGCGCCTCTGATGCCCATATTGGGGCTCCCCAAAAACTGCACTATGCAAGGTCCACTGCGATTGGTGACCTCTGGGTCTTTGTAATGCTCTCTTTGCTTTGCCTTCTGCAATAGGCTGTCTACTATGCACAGAACTCCTTCCCCATCCTTTTCCTCTCCTAAAAGTCAATCCCTGGCCCATATTTTCAGCAAAGTATTTCCTAGTCTCACCTTGTCTTAAACCTCCACATGCACCTGCACTATGCATCTTTCAGTACCAGATCTCTTCTGCCTCCCATCTTGTCCGTCTAACAAGCTGTACAGGAACCACAATATTTATGTGTTATGCAGAAAGCCTAACACCACAGTTGGTGAAAAATTATTAAATAAGGGTGACAGGGGTAGTACAGAAAATGCTGTACAAGATAACATAGCGTAGGAGCCACTCCAGTCTCCAGGCATGCCCACCCCGTCAGACCATTCTGTGCACAGTTACAGATATCAGTGAAACCCTAAACAGAATTACACCTTTCTAAGCCCACTGACTTCAATGGACCTGGAAGGGTATAACTCTGCTTAGGATTCCCTCTTCAAACCAGACAGATGAAAGAAGGAGCAATGAACTATACCACCCAGACCCAAAAGAGACAACTGGACCAGTGACATACACTGGGTAAATCAAATCCCCATCACCACTAATCCCCATTAGCCACTTGGAACTTCCAGAAGAGAGTAGAACTGAAGTATCATAAAGCAATATATAAATTGCAGAGAAGGGAAAGGAGACTGGATTCCTTTCAGAGAAAACACTGTCAACTGACCATGTGAACAGTAGATTTTTGCAAAAGCACTGGATGGACTCAGCCATCAAGTGAGGAAATTATTAGATAAGAAAATACCAGACAAGGAAGTATGGGCTCTCCAATGCATATGAGAGTTTTCTTCCCCACCAGTAACAAGTTCTTTACATCCTTTTTATTTGCGTCCATTTGAGTCTACCCCATTACCGCTAACAGATAAATCATTTTGGGCTCTACTGTAGATCTGAAGAGTCAAAACAGACCTTCCCTACTGAAAAGTGAGGTCTCAGTAATCCTTAAAGGCTACAAGCTGCTTGTTATTAAGATGGAAATGTCTGTGGCTCCTTCGTGTATGTGTGAGGGGGGCAGGGTGGTCAATAGCAATAATACAGAATAACATAGAAGGTAAAAATTGTATAGCATAAAATGTTTCTATCACATCTGGCAGTAAAGTGAAAAGTACTGTTTGGACAAATATCATGTGACTTCAGCCCTATAACTGGCTGGTATAGCTGGTATGAGATTTGGAATTAAAGAATGGATACAAAATCATGTAAACTTTAGCACAGCCCCTGCTGGGCTCCGTGCCCAGAGCAGCATGGTCTATGAGCAAAAAAAAAGGAGCAATCCATGAGGAATCAGAAGTGTGGCGGGATTTGTTTGTTTCAGAAGTATCAGGAAAATTTTAAATTACCCTTTGGTTAGTGTCAGGCATAAATGTGTGAAAGCGGGATAGTGGATTACTTGGCTATTCTTACACCCCTGTGCAGACAAGTAGGTTTCTCCTTCATGCTTTCTACTTAAAGTTCATTAGGTGGATTCTCATGCTTCGTCAAACAATTATACTGATCCTACTCAGACATTGCCTGTTCCTATGTATTCAAAGTTCTTCACATATATTATGGCAACTGGTCATTATGGCCACCAGGAAACTTCCTGGTGGGCTGATGGCCTGTTCCCCCCCCCATGGGCCAAATGAACCCAGGGTAAAAGGTAAGGTTGCCAGTGAGATGGGAAATTCCTGGAGATTTGGGGGTGGAGCCTGGGGAGGGAATGCTTTATGGAGGGGTGGAACCTCAGTGGGGTATAATGCCATAGAGTCCATCCCTCCAAAGCAGCCGTTTTCTCTAGGAGAACTGTAGTCTGGAGATCAGCTGTAATTCCAGGAGACCTCCAGGCCCCATCTGGAGATCTCCCACTTGCAGAGCTGCACAAACAATTACATAATAAATATAGCCAGGTAGATACTGTGATAGAGCAGGAAATGAAGAGATTCTTGAATACACCTTCATAGTTGCTATGTAATGCTAGCTGTCCTTGGTTCTTACAAGGCCTTTTAGCCTGTGACCTGAGTTGTTAAGAAGAAATGGTTGCATTTTGCAAATTGTAACAGCTTCTTTTCCATATGAACAGACTGAGCTGAATCCTTGGCTGCCGAGCCTCATGAATTGTTCTGGCATGGGACCCTCCTGGCCAGAACCTTACTGAAGAGAGTGGACTCTACTATGGCATTACACCCTACTGAGGCCCCTCCCCTCCCCAGACCCCGCCCTCCCCAGCTGTCACTCTCCAAAACTTCAGGCATTTCCCCAACCCAGAGCAGACAACCCTACACCCCAGGAGGGTTATGCATGGCCCAGCAAAGGCAGCTCCCAGCTTGAGTAAGCCGTATGAAGATGCACATGGCCCAGCAGAGCCAGGCACAGCATGTAGATGGCAGTGCCCTGACCGGGCAGAGATGGGAGGTGCCCAGTTGAACTGTGGGAGGTCTAGGACTGGCTGGTTGGCTGGCTTTTTCTCTCCCTCCTTTGTGGTTGTGAGGCCTGGGAAGGAAGGGGGTGGGACTCTAGTCCACCAGGGCTGGGGGGTTTTTCCTCCCAGGCCACCCCTGCTAGCAAAGTGTATTCAGTACCTTTGTTCTGCGGATACCACTTTTGCAGTAGGCCACTGAAGAATGCTGGAAGGATTCTGCCCCCAGCACTTTTATCAGCAAGAAACACTGAAGTCCAAACCTGGGCCAATTGTATCACACCATGCACCCACAGACATTATGTTTGGCAGCTTACTTGCATGCACCACATTGCAAGGGAAAAAATGCAAGCCATTGGCAGGGCTTGGGGTACTCTTTGCACAAAGCATAGCTTCATAGGCTTCAATATCTTTCCAGGCAGCATCCACAATTAATTCCCCAAAACCCATTAGCTTTAGATGGGATTTAATGAGCAGAGTTTGATGGCTTCAGAGCAGCTGTTTTTGTTTTACTCCTCTTTATTGCAGAGAAACCTTTGCTCTATTATCTGACCCCTCCTTTTATTTCAGTTAATTGCATTAAAACTGCTTCCCAACATGCAGGGATTTCCATATCCACTCCTGTTCCAGGAAGGTCTGCTTGGAATTAGAACTCTACCATCTCCTCTCCTTTCCCCGCCCCACCTTTTATGGGACTTCCATGAAAAGGAGAGACTGGCAACTACTGGACTAGGTATGGTAGAGGTTATCAAACAGGCATAGTTCCCCCTCCCCAGTTATGCTATTCACTCAGTCCTTTATTCCTGATGATCCTGATGATTCTCCTGAGCCCTTTTTTTCAGGAATCATCCCAGGTTTGCTGGGGTTTTTTATTCTACAACCAATTGACTAATGAACTATATAATCTGCCTCCTCCATTGCTGCCCACTTTATCACTTCTGTTCTTTTAATTTAAAAAACCCTAGAATACGTAACATGTATTGCTTTGTTCCACAGCTAGTGCATACACGGTACTTTTGGATGGGGGAAAAGCAAACTTTCTCTTCTACCACAAAAAAGCAGCAACAATGGCAGTGATAGGGGTAGATAAGTGTTTTATTTTTCCTCAGCAGGACTAACAGGGACAAGAGTGGTTCAGTGAAGATTTCCCAGTAACCAATATATGTTTCCCCTAAATAGCTATCCCACCCAGTGAACACTACCCATTATGTCGAGGAAGCTAGATACTGCATGCACAAAACTGAATTAAGGCTAGTACTTTGTAGAGCATCTCTCCATATATACTTCTGTTTTGGTCATGGACTCTCCTGAACATTCCACACGCTCCCAAATCAGTTTGCTGAGGACTGGAAGGTAGCTAATGTCACTCCCATCTTTAAAAAGGGTTCCAGAGGAGATCCGGGAAATTACAGGCCAGTCAGTCTGACGTCGATACCGGGCAAATTGGTGGAAACCATTATTAAGGAAAGGATTAGTAGGCACATAGATGAACAAAACCTATTGAGGCAGACTCAACATGGGTTCTGTAAGGGAAGATCTTGTCTCACTAACCTGTTAATGTTCTTTGAGGGGGTGAACAAACATGTGGACAAGGGGGATCCAATAGATATTGTTTACCTTGACTTCCAGAAAGCTTTTGATAAAGTTCCTCATCAAAGGCTCCTAAGTAAGCTAAAAAATCATGGGATAAAAGGACAAGTCCTTTTATGGATCAAAAACTGGCTAATTAATAGAAAACAGAGAGTATAAATGGGCAGTTCTCTCAGTGGAGGGGGGGTAAGCAGTGGGGTACCGCAGGGATCAGTACGTGGTCCACTGCTTTTTAACTTGTTCATTAATGATTTGGAGCTGGGAGTAAGGAGTGAAGTGGCTAAATTTGCAGATGATACAAAGTTGTTCCGGGTGGTGAAAACCAGTGAGGATTGTGAGGCACTCCAAAGGGATCTGTAAAAGATGGGCGAGTGGGCGTCAACATGGCAAATGGGGTTCAATGTGGCCAAGTGCAAGGTGATGCACATTGGAGCCAAAAATCCTAAATATAAATACACATTGATGGGGTCTGAACTGGCAGAGACTGATCAAGAGAGAGATCTTGGAGTTGTAGTAGATAACTCACTGAAAATGTCGAGACAGTGTGTGACTGCAATAAAGAAGGCCAATGCTATGCTGGGGATTATTAGGAAGGGTATTGTAAACAGATCAGCCAATATCATAATGCCGCTATATAAATCAATGGTGCGACCTCATCTGGAATACTGTGTGCAATTCTGGTCACCACACCTTAAAAAGGATATTATAGCTTTGGAAAAAGTGCAGAAAAGGGCAACTCGAATGATAAAAGGGTTGGAACACTTTCCCTATGAGGAAAGGTTAAAGCGCTTAGGGCTCTTTAGCTTGGAGAAAAGACGACTGAGGGGTGACATGATCGAGGTTTATAAGATTATGCATGGGAAAGAGCAGGTAGAGAAAGAGGTACTTTTCTCCCTTTCTCACAATACAAGAACCCGTGGGCACTCCATGAAATTGCTGAGCGGTCGGGTTAGAACAGATAAAAGGAAGTACTTCTTCACCCAAAGAGTGATTAACACTTGGAATTCACTGCCACAGGAAGTGGTGGCAGCTACAAGCATGGACGGCTTCAAAAGGGAATTAGATAAGCATATGGAGCAGAGGTCCATCAGTGGCTATTAGCCACAAGGTATAGATAGGGACTCTGGGGCAAGTGATGCTCTGTCATCTTGGTGCTTGGGGGGGGGTCAACAGTGGGAGGGCTTCTAATGTCCTGGCCCCACTGGTGGACCTCCTGATGGCACTGGTATTTCTGGCCACTGTGGGATACAGAGTGTTGGACTGGATGGGCCTTTGGCCTGATCCAACATTGGCATCTCTTATGTTCTTATGTTCTTAAGGCTCTGAGTGCCACCTCTGGCACCCGTGCCATAGGTTCGCCACCACTGGTCTATGCTGATGGCCATCACTACATCCTCTGACACCCAATTCCATATTTTAATTGCTCTTGGTGTAAAGAAGTATTTCCTTTCCTCAGTTTCTCCTGCCCATCAGCTGTACCGGATGCTTTCGAGTTCTAGTACTTGGGGGGAGTTACCTCCTTGGTAACTCTCTCCATGTTATGCCGAATGTTATAAACCTCTACCATCCACCATCCCCCCGTCTCTTTTTGAAACTGAAAACTCCCAGACTCATCAGCCTTTCCTCATAGGGAAGGTGGCTCCAGCTTTCTCATCATGGCTGCTTTGGGCAATGGACTCTATGGAACTGTACCCTGATGAGGTCCCTCTGCACCCCAAACCCTGGCCCCCCAGGCTCTACCCCTCAAATCTACAGGTCTGGCCCTCCCCTTAGTATTGTCAGTCTCCAGTAGGGTTGCCAAGTCTGATTTTCACCGCAGTGGCGGATTCCCAGCTGGTGGCTGGAGTGCGCTCGCACGTGCGCTGCATCCACATCACTTGGAAGTGATGCAACCACACCGGGCACACTGGGGGCGGGGCCACGACCATCCAAGGGAAAACTATAGAGTTTTCCCTCGGATGACCGTGGCCCCATCCCCAGCGTGCCCGGCATGGTCGTGTCACTTCCGGGTGACGTGCACGTCGGGGTGGGGTTCCCCCCGGGGTCCGATCCGCCGGTGGCAGGGAATGGGCCTCTGGGGTGGGGTTTTTCCCAACCCCTCGGGGGGACTTGGCAAGCCTACTCTCCAGGCAGCACCTGGAGAGTTCCAAGATGAGTTCTCCTGAAGAAAATGGCTGCTTTGGGCAATGGACTTTATGGAATTATACCCTGCTGAGGTCCCTCCACACCCCAAACCCTGCCCTCCCCAGGCTCTATCCCTCAAATCTACAGGTATTTCCCAACCCAGAGTTGGCAACCCTGTAACTGGCTATGGAACCGCTTTCCAGACTCTTGGAACCCAGAAAACATGGCATAGGAAGATGTGCTTTTCTACCTTAGCTGCCAGTGCATAGCCCCAAATCAACATAAGTCAGGGTGGAGGGAACCATACCTGTTACCATGAGGCTGTCCTCCCATACTACCCACTTGGGGCAGCAAAATGACTTGAGACAGCCCTCCTTTATAGCTAAGCAGCAGGAAATAAACATGGCTTCCCTGCCTCTATCTTCCCCTTCCCTCTGCCGCCTCACCAGCCACAGTCGGGACACTCACCTGGAGCTTCCTTCTAGAGCTCGTTGTATTTCTTCCCACAACGAGCCTTACTCCTAGTTGACAAATAAACTCATTTTTGTTGCAGTGTGGAAGTACAGAGTGCCCCAACCAGATGGGCTTTGTCCTTAGTGACAGAGAGATGGATACCAACCATCCAGGTGAGTAGACCCTCCATCAAAGGACCCTGCAGGTCAGCCTGTGTCCTTCTACTTTGCTTAGCAAAGCTTGAGGCCCTCCTCCAGCTCAAGCAGCCTTATTCCATCAGAAGAACCACTTAAGTTGGAGGGAAGGTTCAAATTTTGCTGAGCAAAGTGGTAGGACACAGACAATGGATCATTTCCAATACTTTCCCTCCTTTTCAGACATCTGCTCTAGAGTGAATCTTTTTCTACTAAGTGCTCAATGTGAATTATTTCAGCAGATGTTTCCCTTTCTCTAGTACAATAATCTACGTGCTTTCTAACATATACTTCCCAAGTCTCCTTATGTACATTACACCAATACATACAACACGTATTATCTCATAGACATAGATAACAAACAAAAACCTGGTCTAGATGGGCTTTGAGATCCATTCCATTTATGTCTGCTTTACAATGCTTTATTTTTTGTGTCAGTTAACAGAAACAGATCAGGACAGCCCCAAGCCTTTGTTCAAACAGAATCATACTATTTGAGAAAGGGGGATTCTTTTCTCACATGGGATGTATTGATTACTAACAATTACTACCAACTGTACACTGACATCTCTGAGATGGTTCCAGAACCACCAGTTAAGCAACCTGATGTACCCCTCTGAGCCCTGGGGGACAGGATCTTTATGGCAGGAATACCCATACAAGCCGTGGCCATCTTTGCACAGCACCATCCTGAAGAAGTCAATAAGTAATGACACAGAAGCAACAAGATCCTCAAGATAGGAGCTATCATGGCTGACTGCCTGATTCCTGCCTGCTCCTGTACAAACATTTCTTCAAAGGAAGTTTATGAACCTCATTTCCAACAACAGCAACTACTACAACAACAATATTCCTGTACTCAGGAATTCTATGAGTGGCACCGGCCAGTGCTCTGATTAGACCGCTTTCAATGATGTAGCCAAATCAGGGCAACCCCATTCTGTTCAGGTCACTTAGATGCTGCATATCCCTCTTTCCACAGCCATCACACAGTATCACTACAGAGTAGAGGTACATGGTTGCTGTGGTAACTGGTGCAAAGAGCAAGTTGTGTCTTATAATTCTGATACTGCTCTGATGGCTTCATCAGGTTCTGTTCCTTTTTTCGAACATTTTTCTTCCCACTGATTCAGCCCTGCCTCTGCATCAACTCAGGGCCAGCATTAATCCTATGATTAAGAACATAAGAACATAAGAGACGCCAATGTTGGATCAGGCCAAAGGCCCATCCAGTCCAACACTCTGTGTCACACAGTGGCCAGAAATACCAGTGCCATCAGGAGGTCCACCAGTGGGGCCATAGTGGTAGGCAAAAGGTAAGCATCACATGATCCCTCCTCCATGGCAGAGCATGGGCTGTCTGCCAGTGGTGTGCTATTTCCTTTTCCCAGAAGCCCCACATTGACAGCAAAGCATGCAAGAGTTGGGCTTATCTTTTGGAACTGTTCTTAGTCTATCCTGAACGTCACATAAACTGATATTATGGGCATTAAGACTCCTGGCTGCTTAACACACACACGCATGCATGCATGCAGATGCTTCTCAAACACATGTTCTGCTGCCTCACAAGAGTTTGCCATGAACAAGTATCTAGAAGAAACCCTCGTTCAAGGCCAGCAGCCTTGTTTTCTTTGAATGGGAAGGGAGAGAGTAGTCTATAGAGCTTGCGTTTGTACATAAGGCAGTGCTCTACCCAGATCAGGTTCAATGTTTGCTTCCAGCCCAAATTACTCCTCATTGTCACATGGTTAGTAATGCTAGACAGGAAGAAGAAAAAGGGATACCTACTGTTGCCAGGTAACTGCATCCACCGTACTGCCTGCCACCTTCATGAACCTATGAGATGCAGAAAACATGTAAGCCATTGGCCATGAAAGAAGTCCAAGCATATACACACACATTGCACCACTCTTAATAAGTACAAGTTTGACAGATAGCTATCCAATACCTCGCCAACACTGAGACATCTTGGCAGAGCCTGACTTTAAAGTGAAAGAGCTGAGTCCACCACAGCCAACATTCATATTTACTGCAATTCTGTCCCCAAAAACCTCCTCGCTGGGAAAAGAAGAGTTAAGCTCCCTGAATGGGGAAGCTAGAAGATTCTCAGGGTACTATGTTAACACTGCTGGGGGTCTGTTGGCCTGTATATTTTTATTAAATTTCTACTATCTATGCACATTTTATTTTGTAATTCGCTTTGAGTCCTCAATGTGGGAGAAAAGTAGGGCAAAAATATTCAATTAAACAAACACTTGAGTTTGTTTCATTCAGTTTGAAATCTGCCATATCTCCAATAACATAGTAACCCCAAGAGCTGAGTGTCTAGAGCAGACATGTCAGACATATGGCCCAGGGGCGGAACCAGCCTGTTCAGGGCTCTTACCTGGCCTGCAAGCAACTGGGGGAAAAACCAGTCTGAATGTGGACCGGAAGGGCCTATATTAGGGTATTATTTCCCCTGCTGAGGTCCCTCCATTCCCCAAACACAGGCCCCGGATTTCCAGGGATTGCCCAACCCGGAGTCGGCAACCATAAGGGGTGAGGAGGAGGGCTGGTTTGGTCCCTGAGCTCTGTGCAGCCAGTCCCCCTGGGGCCTGCCTGCTGCCCTTGGCTGAGGTGCCCGGCCAGGACACACTGCCTGCTGCTGACTCTGACTCCTCCTGCTCTGACTAGAGTGTGTTGGGCTCCTGCCTCTGCCACCTGGGCTGCTGGAAAGATGGCTGGTTGTTTGTGTGCAGCAGGAAGAATCTCTTTGATCCCACCTCCCTGAGCCCAGGCCGCTTCTCACTTGCAGGAAGCCTGGGGAAAGCAGGCACCTGGGGAAAGCCGCTGGACAGCTTGTCAAATGTGCCCACTTATGTAAGCATGTGAATGGAGTGACTGGCCTGGCTGGACACGATGTATGCAGCAGCCCAGGTGAGAGAGAAAGGTTTGGTGCTTATGTAAAGGGTGCAACGTGTGCAGAATGCCAAGGTTTGGGGGTGGAGGGGACCTGCCGAATTGACTGAGCCTGCTGACCCAAATGTGTGTGGCTCCTCTTCTGCCTCCCTTGCTCTGAAGCGCGGAGGTGATTAAGTAAGAGGCTAAGCCAAAATGCATGCATGCTCCCAGGCTCCCTGCATGCAAGCTAGGGTTGCCAGCTCTGGGTTGGAAAATACTTGGAGATTTTCGAGGTGGAGCCTGAGGAGGGTGGAGTTTGTGGCATAATGCCATAGAGTCCACCTTCCAAAGTGGCCATTTTCTGCAGGTGAGCTTATCTTTGTCACCTAGAGATCAGTTGTAATAGCAGGAGATCTCCAGCCACCACCTGGAGTTTGGCAACACTAACACAAGCACTGCCCTATGTAACAGTCTAAATGGAAGCAGAAGTGGGGGGTGAGGCAAACATCAGGGACCAGAGCAGGCATTCAGAAAGGCACCCTGGGTTTGCACATGGCAGAGGTAGGGACTGGATGTGCCTCTGTGCACTGCACTTGCACATGGGGAGTAATATTTTGGGTGGTTAGATTATGCCATGGAGCTGGCAGGAAATAAAAGTCTGCAAAAGGCAATTAAATTGGAACTGGCATCTTTGGAAGAGTGGCAGCACTTGAAGACTGCTTGTGTTGCTGGGGAGCACTGCAGTTCCCCTGTGGTTCAAGCTCGTTGATGAGTTTGGGACTTTGATAGAGGGAGATGAGGGATTGTGTGGCTGCCTCACCCCCTCCCCTCCATCTCCCAAAGCCTGTTGACCATAGCAGTTGCTTTAAGACTGGGCTTGTTAAGTTCCCCTAGTTGAGCCATCTGTCTTTGGCTGCCACAACTGCAGCAACAGAATGCAGCACTTCATGGTCCAGCTCATCAAACGCCTCTGAAGACAAGAGTCTCTGGTTGTTGCATCTTGATTGTCACGCAATAACTCTCTGTGCTGTGCAAAACTCCTTGTGCATATCAAGCAAAGGGTGGTTAGTTAGGTATTGAGGAGAGGCGTGGGTAAAATATGTCTGGTACCTGGCATTACATTTTATGGCACATGTCAGATCCAGTCCTAGTAACAAATTAGAGAATGTCTAATCAGAAGGGCTCAGCTAGGATATATTCTCTCTCCCAGTACTTTCCTTTCTGCACAACAATCATGTGAGGTAGGTTAGGCTAAAAGTCTGTGACTGGTCCGAAATCACCCCCTCAGCTTCCATAGCAAGAACCTAGGTCTCCCCAGGGAGAAAATAACTTCTTTGAAGGGTGGACTCTATGGCACTCTATTCAGCTGAGGCCTCTCCCCTCCCCAAACTCTGGCTTCTGTAGACTACACCACAAAATCTCCAGGAATTTCCCAATTTGGAGCTGGAATCCCTAGTCAGGACTGGCCCCAATGAGTTCTCCACAAAGGCAAACGCAGGCCTGGAAAGGGCCTCCTGCCCCTGCCTTTTTACTAACAGAACCAAGCTTGGTTGCCTAGCAACAGCCACTGAGGGGAAAGTGAGTCACACATCAGTTTTGGCAGTTTATTCAGGCAGAGAATGACTAAGCTGGTGGTGGGTGGGAGAGAGGAGCAGACCCAGCCCCCAGCCAATGGCATGTGAGTACTCTTGAGTGGCAGCTGACGGGCCAATGGCTGAGGGAGAGCATGGAATCTTGCCACCCCAAAACAGGATTATTATATAGGAGAGATAGGATGCATGGGGTGGAGAGATTTGACAAAGAGAATTTTTTCCCCCTCTCCAAAGTACTAGAATTCAAGGACATCCAATGAAGCTGATGGGCAGTAGGTTCAGGATGGACAAAAGGAAATACTACTTTACACAGAGAGTGATTAAAATGTGGAATTTGCTGCCAGAGGATGTAGTGATGGCCACAGAAATAAACAGCTTTAAAAGGGGATTAGATAGGTTCATAGAGGATATCTATCAATGGCTACTAGCCATGGTGATTGAAGGGAACCTCCACATTCAGAGGCACTAAATCTCTGAATCCCAGAGCCAGGAGGCAACATCAGGAGAAGGCCGTGGTCTCAATGCCCTGTTGCTGGCCATTCAGAGGAACTGGTTGGCCACTGTGTGGGACAGGATGCTGGACCAGATGGACTATTGGTCTGATCCAGCAGGGCTCTTATGTTCTTACACTGGCACCCCTTGGTAAATGGATTTCTGATGACAGCAGTGCTGAAAATAATTAGTGGCTGAGACCCTGAAATCCACTGCCAGCCAGAATACACAGTGCTAATGGGCTAGAGACAAACCAATGGTCTAATTCAATATAAGGCAGCTTCATATATTTGAGGATACAGTCCTGTCAGCACAGTTATATGGGAGTAAACCCTGTTAAACCCAGTGGGATTTCCCTTTACCTTAAAAAGCATATAAGCAGACAGATTTTCACTGATGCTCCCTGATCACTGTGTTTGGAATATGGGTTTTTTGGGGGGAGGGGAGGGGTAGAAACCAGTACCAAATCTTCCATTTCTAAAAGGAACAGCTGTCTGGCTTGGATCAAACCATGTGAAAAGTACGCAGACGGACGAGATTTCAGCATAGCGTACTTTATTAGTGAAGAACAAGACAACTTTAGCCGGCTCACAGGCCAGCTTATATCCCCCGTAAATCCACCACCGAAAACACACCCCCACGTACCAATAGGTCCAAAGTAGTGGCTGAGAGTCCCACAGGCTCTCAGCCCGGAGCCTAGCCCTCTGATTGGTGCGGGCTAGGATCCGTATTGTCCATTGTCTGTCGGAGCGAAGCTCGACACTTGTACTTGACCGCGTAGTACCCAAGCTGACCATGTGGTAGGGTCCTGTACATTACAACATGGATGCATAGAAAAGCATGCAGAGTTTTCCTGCATTTCTCTCTGTTTCAGCAGCCTCTTCCAACCCTCAGAACAACCATTTCTGTGGTCACAGGACTCAAGTGGAGGAACAGCTGTGAAAGCTGGGGCACTGCAGTTAGGAGGGGGAAAGTGTGAACTCACCTTGTCCTCTCTCTTCCATCAGCAGAGCTATGCTTGCAGAAGACACAGAAAGAGCTATTTTACCCCCTTTCTTTTCTTCCCTGCCATGCCCTGAGCCACCAGGGTCAGAAAGGGCTGCAGGAACACAGAGGAATGAAGGGGAAAATCAGCATTCTGTGTACGCCTGTGCTGATTCTACGCAAGGACTCCGCCCCACCCCCCGGTGGTCGTAATACCACTGCTATTAATGCTGAATTATCACTTGCAACAAAGATTCCATATGCCACAGGGTACTCTGGTCTTTCACTTATCATGGACCTCGGTCACACGAACGGGAAAATCCGCACTGGAAGGGAGGCATTTTAGAGGTGGAGGTAAAAGAAGCGCAGGAGCGTGATCTTATGGTCCCCCGCGGCTCTGTCCTCAGGCCGTCGGCAGCCGATCACACCAGGGAGGCAATAGCATAGTCCCAGCGAGGCAACACAGCAGTACTGCATTATTGCGCATGCGCGGGTCACAGATGGCTGCTGGATGCCACGGGCTACCGGTGCATCTCTGATCAGATGCCCGCCCGTGCTGCGCATTTACTGGAAGCTACTACCTTTTCCCCAGTGCCTTTTAAATCCACTTCTTCAGGCCGACAGTATGGGTTGGAGACGGGTGCGGTACACTTCCCAGATGTTGTGGTATGATTGCGCCCGTTTGATGCACCTTCAATCCATCCCTTTCTGTAATGTATGCAGCCTGACATGCCCGGACTTGCCCGGGCTGGCCAGGCACAACTCTTCAATAGCTTCATGTCCAAAGACAATGGGTCCATAGGATCCTAGCCGGCCCAATCAAAGGGCCAGCTTCTCAGCCGGGAGACCAATGGTCGCCCGGTTACTGTAAATAGCCTATCGGGA